CACACACCCACACACACATACCCTACACACACATACCCTACACATATGTGTATTTTCACGAAAGTAATTGCATTTGATAGAAATCATGAAAATGTTTAAATTGTAATTTTATAATGTTTATAGAAATTATGTCTTTGTAATATCTTTATGAGAGATAAATATTTAAAGTTTGAAAAACGTGGAATTTTAGGTGTGATTAAAAGCAATTTAATAGTTAAACCCTACAAACTTGTTTCTCTCAATCCAAAATTATCATCTCATTAAATGTGAAACTTGATTATATTTTTGTGTATCAAAAGATAAAAACAAGTTCGCTACTAATCTATTTCCTTTTATTTTATTATAGTTTACAGTCTTTTTTTTATTATTTAGTCTATTCATATTCAAATAAAAGACAATAATTATAATAATTTTAAAGTTAAAATTCACATTTTTCAAATATTGAAGAATAAGGAAATAGCGATATATCACACATTAATTAATATTTTTAAAATGGAAAGCTGATTTAAGATTTGATGTTTCAATCATGGTTAAAACAGTAGTTTTTAATCAATATTAAAAAAAACTAACAAAATATATAGTAAGTAATATAAAGATACAAAAATATCACCAGGTAATTATTTAAGTTCAAATTATTGACAAATGTAAGATTTGATGAATGTGGGATCTCTGGTGGTTTATGATATATATATTTTAATAATTGTTTAAAGATATAAAGATATATTGTATAATACATATTAAAAAGATATGAAAATATATGCTTTGAAAAAAAAGCTTATGTTACATATTTCATGAGAATCTAAATTGACCATACTATAATTAATACTTCAGATATAATTACACGTTCATTAATTATCACCATTTTCCAACGTAAGGAGCTTTAATTTAGCCTTCATTAATGCTTGTGAAAAATAGTCGATACTCCCTCGGTTTTTTTTTCATAGTTGTTTTGTAAGAGTTTGTTTTTTTATTTTCATTGTTATTTTACTAAAATCAATGAGTTATTAATTTTTTTCTTCCATTTTTATCCTTGGTAATTAATACATGTTTCCTGAACAATGTGTGCATTTATTTTTAATGTCTACCTATTTTCTCTCCAACTACCCATATAAAGTTAATGTACATTTATAAGAGCAATATGTTCCCAACAAAATATTATAAAAAAACAAAAAAAGAGACAACTATTTACAAGACTCTTTAACTTTAGAAATGGTAGAAGACTCCATGGATGGGATTGAAGAATCTGAAAATGCAAAAATAGTAGAAGTAATTGTGTGAATTCAATATTTAAATCTGGAATTTTATTTGAATCCATGTTAGTGGAGATGTAATTTTCTTGAGCTTAAAATGAGATATATATAGTGAAGTTAATACAAATCTTTTGGAGGGAAATAATAATCTTTTGGAGGTAAGCAAATTTTAGATCAAATTTGATAGAAGTAAATTTTAGATCAAATTTGATAGAAGCAAGTTTTAGATAAATTTTGATAGAAGCAATATAACCATTAATTCATGGACAGGTATAATTAAATACAGTAGGTTACAGTTCACGTGTAATTAATGCATTAATAATTAATGGAGTAGATGATAGTTCAACAGTCTAAAAAATGCAAAAAAAAAATAAAGGGTAAAATAGGAAAGTAAGTAATAAATATTTTTGAAAACTAAAATATCAATTATTTCCTTAAGTCCCGTGCAAAACCTTAAACGACTATGAAAAAAAACGGAGGGAGTAGCATTTTGCAAAAGCATCTGAATTAGAAAAAAAAATGATAAAGTTATGAAAGTATTTTTAAATATAAGTATTTTAAAACATGAATCATAATCTACATAAGTCAAACTTGTTATTTCAAACACCCAATAAGTGGTTTCTAGATTATTGTAGTAGTAAAGGGTTTTTAAAGAAAGTAGAGATGTGTGAACTGTGAAGCCATTGCATCATGTACTTTAGTTTTACGAAATATGTTGTGATGCATCAGAAAGTTTCTATGGTTGTTTTTTCTTGTTATTGGAACTAGGATCACGAGCAAAAAATATTGAAGAAAAAAAAAAGGAGTGACTAACAGTGACAGATCCATAAAATTTATTAGGTAGAGATAATAAAATATTTTATATCATTTTTACTAAAAAATATATAATAATTTTTTGAAAAATATATTTTTATGGTAAAAAAAACTTAAAATACCTTATTTTTAGAAATTACAATTGTGATAATTTTTCCTTTTTTTTTCTTTTTGTTTGAGGTTATATTTAAGTGTCATTTTATAAATTTTTTGTAATTTATTTAATATTAGAGAAATAAAATGGTAAAAATTAATAGAATAAAAATAATAAAATTATTAATTTTTGTTTCTTTTAGTGCCTTATAAATTTTTATACTCATTTAAAACAAAAAAATTTATGAGTGCAAATGTGCAATCTCTATTTTTTTATAAGAGTAAATTTCTTTATTTAAATATGTTCAAGTTAAAAAAAGATGTGTGACAATTACTCTCATTCCTGTTAATGAGTAGGAATGGCAACGAGGCGGGTCTGGTACGGGTTTCATGATACCCGTCCCCGTCCCCGCGAGTTAAACTTATCCCCGTCCCCGTACCCGTACCCGTTAGATATATAATTTTCATCTTCATCCACGTTCCCGTCGGGTATTGGGTATACCTTTACTTGTACCCGTCAAATTTTTTTTATTTTTTATTTTTTGTAAAAAAAAATGATATTTTTAAATTATTTTTTTATTATATTATAATTATAATTAGATTATTTCTCTATCTTATATTATAATAAATAATCACACATGAAAAATATTAATTTTTTTTAATATAATTAAATTAAAAGTAGGTATTAAATTAAAAATGGGAACAAGGACGAGTACGGGTACGGGACGGGTAAGTACATACCCATACCCATATCCGTACCGGATTTAATATATCGGGTTTTACCCGTACCCGTATCCGGTCAAACCAGGTATTCCCCGTCAAAGTCGGGACGGGTTCGGGTATTACCTGCGGGTACGGGTATATTTCTCATCCTTATTAATGAGGATCCTCTCCTACCAACACATAATATACATATACATGATCAAAAGGTTAAAAAATAAAATAAAAATTAAAAAAATACATTAGTAAACTAAATTATAAAATCTTTAATGAGTAAAGAAGTAATAAATATTTTAGTCAAAAAATATAGGAGGGATCTACTTATTCCAAGAGTATATCTTAATAAACTTACTCCACTCAATAATTCATATTCTACATTAAGTATTCAACCATTCAATTAAAAGTCTTTAATGTATATATCAAAATTATAAAATTTTTAAAAAATTAAAAATTATTTGATACACCGTTTCATTAATTTAAATGACAGATAATCATAAAAAATAGTTTATATGTTATTTTGAATCTATCTAACAAAGTATTATATAGTTTTCAATTTTTTAAAAATTTATAAACTTTATCTATATATTAAGAGTTTTTAATTTAATAGTTGAATTTTTTAAAATTTGATGTAGAACATTAGTTATTGAGTAGAATAAGTCTATCAAGACTTACTCTTAAAGTAAGTGAATTTTTTCCTTATAAAAAATTAAGATAGTTTTGTCACAAAATGAAAATAATTAAACAATAAAATAAAATATAAATGAAATATTAATATATTTTATTATATTAAATATAATAGGATAATTAATAATATATATTTATAAAAATAATTAATATTTTATATAAAAAATAGAATGAAAAAAAATTAGTGGGGCCAACTATCCCCACAATTATAAACGTGGATCCGTCCCTGGTGACTAACAAGGTTTATTAGGAAAAAATATTGAGAAAAAAAATCTTTAAAAATAGTTTTTGAAACCAAATTTGGTTCAAAATTCAATTAAACATATAAAATGATGTTATATATAACAATTTGAACACATTGAAATGAGAGGAATGCAAAGATTTGTAGATGTATAAGATTAATATTGAAGATGACTTAAAAAAATTAATTAGTACTATTTATATCAACAAGATATATCTATTTTTCAGTAGCTCATCAATTAAGAACTTTACGGTAAAATGTGTTTGACTTTGAGCAATTTAGGGATAAATGACCTTTTGAAAAGTTTCTTAGAAAGTCTGAAAAAAGATAAGCTCATTGAAAAATCTTGTGTTGGTTTGTGGGAACAATCTTTGATACCCTAAAGTTTAACATCTCAAAAAGGGCTACTAATGTTTATCATGTTAGTAGTATTCATGTGCCTTGTAAATATTTTACATGGATGAGATAAATTCTCACTCCCCAATATTTGTAAGGTCGTTATTTTGTTTGAGTTGATTACCATTTGTAGGAGTAAAACAGATATATTAGGTCGAGGATAAGGTAGTGGAAGTTTAATGCTTTAATAGCTGTTTTGGGCCCATGCTTTAATAATATGACATTGGACATTGTGTGTTTTTATGTTTTAACTAGTTATAGAGAAATTATTTTACCTTATGGTGTTTTATGCTTTTATGTTAGAAATTTGGTATAAAGGGAAATTTGTGCCTTGTTTTTAGATTATGCCGAAAATTATTTATTTTTTATTTAAAGAGTTTTTATTTGGAAACTTTTGAACCCTTTTACAATGAATTTATATCTACATGTTTTAAGACATTTCTTTTATTTTATCTATTTGCTGATTATTTAAAAGAGTTCTTTATTTATAATGTTTTGGGATAGAAGGTGTCACATACTTCATATATTTTTCATAAAACTTTATACAACAAATATTTTATAGTTATTTTAATATATTGCATTTAAGAGGCTATTATAAATATTGTTTTAATTTGAATAAATCTTCATATATATAATAAAAACGGTTAAAGAACCTACTTACATTATAACGTCAATTAACTTTTAAAAAAGAATAAATAAAGAAAGAAAACCATATTCTTTTACATAATGAATGGGCACTTCTATGTATAAATAAACTTTTCACGCTATATTATTGAAAGGTAACCATGGTTGATCAGCAAAAAATGAGTGGTGGTGATGGCACTTCTAGTGTTACTAAATGTAAGGCCAAACATGCCATGTTAGAAGTATCTTCACCTCCATGTGGAGCGTGTAAATACCAAAGGAAAAAGTGCACTAATGATTGCATGTTTGCACCTTACTTTGGTTCTGACCATGGTTTGGCACAATTTACCATAGTGCACAAAATTTTTGGTGCAAGCAATGTATTGAAGATGTTGTTGGATGTTGAAGTGAATCGTCGTCAAGAAGCGATGCGTAGCATATTATTTGAGGCTCAGGCAAGACTAATTGATCCTGTTAATGGATGTCTCTCCACCATGATTGGTTTACAACAACAGGTTTGTTTGGTTAAAATAATATACATATTCTTGCTAGTGTGATTATAAAAAAATTATTATTATTATTTACAGAATACAAATGGAGTTCTTTTAATATTATTATTGATTTTTGATAATAATAATAATTATTATTATTTATTATTGTTGCTATTATTATTATTATTATCATCATTATTATATACTGAATTTTCTTTCATCGCACTTTTACTCCATTTTTTCCAGCTCTCTCTTTATTTCTCATCACATCATTTATCACAACTAACAATTTTTCTCTTTTATTTATTTTCTCATTTAGCAAGTGAATTTTGCGAGGACTATATAACAAATTTGCAAGAAACAACAACATTTGCTAGGAACTAGTGAGGGAATTATCCTGTCACTAATTAGTTACTTAGTATTAATGAGAATTTGTTTTGTAATTTCATCTCAAATATGTTGCAAAGTTGAGTAGCGAGGGAACTATTCCTTATTAGCAATTTTTTTGTAGTGTTCTTTCCACCCATAATCTCAAAAAGTCTTTTTTCCTTTTTCTCTCGATATAAGTTATGAAAGGAAAATTTTAATTTGGGTTAGAGAGGAGTGCTAAAAAAATACAGGGAACTACAATTTTTTTCCTTTTATTTATTTATGTAACCAAATATTAAATAAATTGAAAATAATTAATGCACCCATTTTCCCCTTTTCTTTTAGTTATTTATAAAAATATAGTGATACTAACAATTTATAAAGAAACAAGTACTTCTTTTATAAAGGGAGTTGTTTCACCATTGCAATTGCATGTAAAAAGTTATGCAAAGTAACTTTTAATCCGGATTTTCATGGATAACTTTTTATATGCGTTCACATAGTCAACAATTTGAAATCCAAAAATGAGTATCGATTGATTCATATTTTATCTTGGTTGAGTGGATTTAGATTTCTTTATTAACATTTGAGTCATATAATCATCACTTAATGATGTGCAAATTTCATAAATGCATGAAAAATTCAACAACACCAAATCCATTTATGAGTAACTCTAACTACAAGTATTGTTGTATTTGATTTTGATTTTCAGGTTGTAGTAATATAACTTATTTTTCAAAAGCTTCATCAACAATTTAAAATGATAATTTTTTAATTTAAAATAAGCCAGTTTATGGCTTAATCTTGTAAAGACTTATGCAACATATTGTTAAATATAATACTTAGAAATTTTTTAAAAAATGTGTTTTTTACGATAATTATTATTTTGTCTTTAAGAATCATTTCCTTAATTTGTGAAAGGTCATGCATGTAATATTTAGTTATTTAGTATAAGATGTACTTATGAATAAGGAAAAACATTTTTTTTAACAAATTTGTGTTTGAAGGAAAGTGATTTGTGTCTATAATTTTTATGTATAAGTCTATTAGATATAATAAACTAATTAAGCAACACTTTTTTTTTTTGTTCTTGGATATATATAGAAGTAAAACTCACTCAAAAAAAAATTCATGCTAAGAATTTAATTATGTGAATGATGAACAACTCATTTTAACTTATTTAGGTGGCATCATTGCAAGGGGAGCTAGCTATGGTGAAAAATCAGCTAATAAATACCAAGATTTTATATGAAGAACTTTTCAACAGTACATATCAACAACAACAACAATTGCAACCAAACATCAATGTAGCTGGGCAACCATACTCCAACAACTCACCTGCTTCCACCAATTTCATGAACATGAATGGCTTCAACTCTAATTTTGATCACCTTGGAATGCAGACAACACCCTTAACAGACAACTTAAAGCCTCTTCAATTCTCTGAGTTGCCCCAAAATGAGGAAGAAAACATGATTCTCCAAGTTTCCAACAATGACATGACTCATCTCCTTCCTTGAGTTTCAATTTTATTGCTTTGATGAATAAATTAATAATATCGTAGCTTCATAGTCAAGTTCACACACACACCCACACCCACACATGTGTGTATTTCATGAAAGTAATTGCATTTGATATAAATCAAGAGAATGCTTAAATTGTAATTTCATCATGTTTATAGGAATTATGTCTTTATAATATCTTTATGAAGGATAAATATTTAAAGCTTGAAGACATGGAATTTTATGTGTCATTTAAAACAATTTAGTGATTAATCCCTATAAACTTATTTCTCTTAATCCAAAATTGTCATTTCATTAATCATGAAACTTGATTATATTTTTATTTATCAAAAGATTAAAACAAGTCCGCTATTGATCCATTTATTTTATTTTACTAGAATTTTAAAAAATGACTTTCTTATTATTTAGTTTATTCATATTCAAATTAAAGGCAATAATTATAGTAATTTAAAGTTAAAATTCATGTTTTTCAATATAAAAAATAAGGAAATAGTAATACATCATACATTAATATTTTTAAAATGAAACCAATTAATTTGATGAAATTAATGTTGATTTAAGGTTTGATGATTCAATCACAATTGAACCAGTATTTTTAAGCAATATTTTTAAAAATAAAATATATTAAGTAATATAAAGATATAAAAATATCATTAAGTAATTGTTATATTTAAGTTCAAATTATTGACAAAAGTAAGATTTGATGAGCGTGGGATCTTTAGTGATTCATGATATATATTTTAATTATTGTTTAAAAATAAAATAATAAATTATATAATACAGGTTAAAATTAGAATATATGCTTTGAAAAGAAAAATTATATTACATATTTCACGAGAATCCAAACTTAACCATACAATAATTAATGCTTCAAATGTAATTACAAATTTATTAATTATTCATCAGTTTCCAATGTAAGAAGCTTTAATCTAGCATTCATTAATGCTTGTGAAAAATAGTCAATAGCATTTTGTTTAAGCATTTAAATGATAAAGAAAATTTGCTAAGGTTATGAAAGTATCTTTAAATTAAAATATAAGTATTTTAAAAAATGAATCATAATCAACATAAGTCCAACTCGTCATTTCAAACACCCAACAAGTGGTTTCTAAATTGTTGAGTAGTGAAGGGTATTATAAAGAAAGTAGAAGAGTGTGAAGTCATTCCATTATGTACTTTAGTTTTATGCAATATATTGTGATGCATTAGAAAGTTTTTATGGTTGTTTTTTCTTCTTGTTGAAACTATAATCATGAGAGGAAAAAAAAGACTAAAAAAAGTGACTAACAAGGTTTATTAGGAAAAAAAAACATTGAAAAAAAATCTTTAAAAATAGTTTTTGAAACCAAATTTGGTTCAAAACTCAATTACACATAAAATGGTGTTAGATGTAATAGTTTAGATATACTTAAATGGGAGGGATCCAAAGATTTACACATATGTGAGACTATATAGTTGATGATAACTTAAAGGAATTTATTAATATTACCTATACTAACAAGATGCATCTACTTTTTGGTAACTCATCAATTAAGAACTTGATGGAACTACTTGGAGAAGATTGATAAATCTTCAAGTGCTCCATTCCAAGACCTTTAAACTCTTGAGGTTGACCACGAATTTGGATGAGGAACTCCTTTGAAGAAGTTTCAATGGAGAAGAATCACCAAGGAGGTTCGGTTACTCCATGAAAGAGGGATGAAGCTTGTTGAACAAGCTAAAAGGTTGGAAACCTTTGAGAGAAACTTAGAGAGAAAGTTTCTCCATGAAATTTAGGACTTTAAGAGGAGAGAATTTGAGTCAAATTCTGATTTCATATCTCAAAAAGTGAAGTACAATGAGCAATTTAGAAATATATAGGGAGAGGTAGCTTGTAGAAGAAGCTAACCTTAACCATGGTTCACTAGGAACCATGGTAAGGTGTAGCTAACCATCCATGGTTTCTAAAACTTGTAGGAGAAGCTAACCTTAACCATGGTTCACTTAAGAACCATGGTAAGGTCAGCCAAACCTACTAAGGTTTAGAAGCTTGGAAGGCAAGCTTCAAAGCTTGTAAGAGAAGCTAGAAATTTTGGCCAAGAATAAAAGGAATGAGCTAGGCGGCCAAGGCTCAAAAATGCTCCATGATTTATTTAAAAAATATTTGTTTTGGTTTAGTTAGGTTCATCATATGATGATGAGACCTAGCTAAATCAAATCTATGAAAAATTAGGAGCAAAATGAGTCTAATATGCAAAATTTTGCCTAGGCCCAGTTCTGACCCAATTACTAATCACACCCTCAAGCATTGCTAAATGCCACCCCTTTTTCCCTACTGAAAAAATATAAAATGAATGTATCAACAAAGGAGGTTAAATGGAGTTAAACTCTCCAAGTAACCCACCCTAAAATCAATATACAATCACTAGTTAAAATCAAGTAAAGTGTCTCACAAATACAAAGGCAAAAATAAGCCTATACAAAGAGACTACTATATGTACAAACATATGAAAGGTCTTTAATATCATCCTATTCCTCTTGGTTCTTTTAATATATCATCTCTTGGATTCCTTGGCCTTGGCCATAGTCTATCAGAACTCTATAGTTAAGCATGTTTGACTTTATTCAATTTAGAGATGAGTAATCTTCTAGGAAGTTTACTAGAAAGTGTGAGTGAAGATAAACCATGCTAAACAATCTTGTGTTGGTTTTTAGGAAAAGACATTGATCTTAAAGGTCGTTAGACATCTTAAAAAGGGTTACTTATGGAAGGTTCTGACTGTTGAAGGGTTTTGCTCAACAAGAAGTCAAATATGCAAGAGTGTTACAGATGGTATTAGTATTAGAGTAGGTATTCTCTCCCAGTACAATGTGTTTGAAGAAAAATAGGCGAAAGTTGATTGACTTGTAATAGCCTAGACACACTAGAATGAAAGAGATTTAATGATTTGTACAAATGTGAGACCGTATAGTTGATGATGACTTAAAGAAATTAATTATTACTATTTATAAAAAAAATATGCATCGATTTTTCAATTGCTCATCACTTAAAATCCTCATAGTTAAGTTTGATTGACTTGAAACAATTTAGAGATGAATGACAATCTTAGAAGTTTCATAGAAATTGTGAGTGAGAAAAAAACATGTTAAAAACTCTTGTATTGATTTTTAGGGATAATCATTGATCTTAAAAGTGGTTGGAGTGGTCAAACATCTAAGAAATGACTATCCACAAAGGGTTTTAACAGGTGAAAGACTTTGATAATTGAGAAGTTGTGTGAAGTATCATCATGTAAAATATCATGAAGTGAAACTATCAAGACGTCAAATATGAAGAAGTGTTACCCTACAACATATCTCTCATAAGATGCGAAAATAAATGTTACTTTTATAAATGTTTATTTTACCCTTAAAAACCTATGTTTTTATAAAATATAAGTCATATATAAGCAAATACACAGTAAATTATATGTTCATGTTTAAGGCATTGCATGAATTTAATTAAAATTTATTTGATTCAAATATATTTTTTTTCTTATAATGTACCAATTTTTTTTTATTTTGATCCTTGTAAAATTTATTTATTTTATTATGATCCTTGTTATTTTATTTTAATCTTTATATATATATAATTTTTCATTTTAGTCCCAATAATATTTTGTTCATTTTTACTTAATCCTTTTGGAAAAAATGGTAAGATTAAAAACAAATTATTTATACATTATAAGGAAAAAAAACAAAACAAAATATATATTACAAGGATTGAAACAAATTAACAAAGATTAAAATAAAAAATGTGAGATTTACAAGGATTTTTTTAAAAAAAAATTATAGGACCAAAACAAAAAAAAAATAGTATAAGAATAAAAATATATTTAAGTCAAATTATATTTCATATTAATATTAAATTATGTGAAAATAATTTTATTGTGGCACTATATATGAACAATCCTTTAACATGCAAAAGTATTGTAAACTACAAATCTATATTAACAAATTGGTGCTAGAACTTTTTAAATAGAATATTGTATTCTTTTTTAGTCTTATTTTTAGGAATTAATCCATATATCAACAATGAAAATTTTAAGAGATGCTAACTTTTTTTCTAAAAATGGTTTTTTTAGCATTATTTTATTTGCTAACAATTAATTAAATTAAAATAACGTGTAATAAATTTATTATCATAGTTAGGACTTTTCACAAGTTTGGATAATTTGTGAACTCAAACTAACTTAAATCAATCCAATTATTTTAGATTAATTTTTTTTTGGTATTTCGGTAAAACTTAATCCAACTTATCATAGACACCCAATTTCGTCCGAAAGCATACAAACATGGAAATGGACATTCATTATCAAAGAAAAGAAGTTCCCATGTATAGAAACAACAGAACATGACACTAAAAGGCCTAAAGCCCAAATAAGCTGATTTTAGTAGTCCAGAATGGGCCATTCCAAAACCGGAACGGGCCGTACCAGAACAATTTGTCATGAATTAAATTCCAATTCAGAATGGGCCGTTCTGCTTCTAGAACGGGTCATTCCAGATTCAAAATTCTCTCAATAGACTAGTCTAGAATGGGTCGTTCCAAATCCGGAACGGGCCGTTCTGGCCATTTCTGATGTCTATAAATAGTAGACTCAGACAGGGCCTGAAAATTTCGTATAAGACTCCTTTGAGCTCGAAATTCCTCTCTTTTTCTATCTTTTTCTTTGTATTTCTTGAAATCTGCGAGACATTTGTGTAGTGTGAAAGGTTGCTACAAAACACTTAGAACTTCCATATTTGAAGATCTAACAAAACTTGCTATGAGGTATTTCATTCAATCTTTTTTTCTCTCTTTTATTTCTCATCTTCAATAGACATTGTTATAATAAAAGCAATCATGTAGACATTTTAGGGTCAATTGTGTAATTTAAATTTCAAGCATGTAAATAACCATTAATAAAGGGGATCAAATATTTAACTCATTAATTCTTCCTATGCTAACTTCATCATAAAGGTACCGATTGAGGGTGTTGTAGGGGTGCTTAACACCTTCCCTGGACATAACCGACCCCGAACCTAATTTTGGTTATCAAGGTCATTATTGGACTTTTGAAAACCTTTTATTTTTCTAATATTTTTGAGCAAAATACTGGTGGCGACTCGTAAGAACCTATTTTTCAAAAT